TTTTTTATATCTTGTGTTATTGAAAAAACGATAATTTAGTATTTTTTATTAACAAGTCTCAATTTTATATCATTATCAAAAAATTGTTTTTAATAAAAACAATAAATTAGAGTCAGATTCCACAAAGAATAAAATTATATTTGTCCAAATGTCAAAAAATTGTCATTGAAATGTCAAATCTATTTAATGTTACTTTAATTGCAGTTTTGTCGTCTAATGTGTTTCATTGAGTATCAGAAGTTCTTAAATTTTTTTTATTTGCCCCAAATAATCTCTTCATCTTATCGTCCTTTGCCTTGAACTTTTTTGCTTCTCCAACCGTCATGTAGATCTGTTCCTTTGAGAATCTTCCATTATCATTGGTGGTTGTGATTTTATTCTTTTTACCTGTTATCTCGTTTTCAGATAAGACATTCAAAATCCCATTTGCATTTGTGTCAAATGTGACTTCAATTTGTGGGACACCACGTGGTGCTAATAAAATACAAACAACCCAAACTTGTCAAATATGTTGCAATGTGATGTCATAGATGCCTCGCCCTCAAAAACTTGGATGAATAAGCATGGCTTATTGTCTGCATGTGTCTAAAAGATCTGCGACTTCCTTGCTGGAATTGTTGAGTTTCATGGTATCAATTCTGTCATCACACCACCAGCTGTCTCTATCCCAAGTGTCAGTTTCTACACCAACTAGCAACACTTCTTTTTGTTATCTTTCCACCATTTCCAGTCAGAATAGCAGCCAGCACAGCAGCACCACATGTAACTGCCTCATTTTCATGTTCTTGTTGATCTCTTTCCCATTGAAAAAATTTTGTAATATCTTGACTGCATTTGGTATTCCCAACTCACTAATATACATAAATTCGTCAATGCTCCCTTGTCCAGTTTGGCGTCTTCAAGCACTTTATCTACTTACTGTTATCGACTTGTAGATGTCGACGTTCATCTCTTCAAAGCGTGCTCTTGTGATTGGTGTGTAGAAGTCAATTCATTTTTATAATCATTTTTATTTAAAGTTTAATATTTTGAGAGGAGCATTTTCAGCTTTTCTTCTCTTATCTTTTTTGAATTTTTTTTTGTTTGACATTTTTTCTCTTTTTTATTTTTTATTACCAAGTTTTTACTTTTATCAAATAAATAGATATTTGCAATTGAAATTATTTTTTCCGGTTTTCGTGCCTAATATGTGAGAAAACATTATATTCTATAGGTGTGTAGGCCACTTTTTATTGGTCAAAACCACACATTGATAGAATTATTACTATAATCAATATAAAAGAATCAAAAAGAATCAATTTATGAAATCAATGCAAAAATACTTTTTTGAGTAATTACAGATAAAGGAAAATATGGGTGACAAGGATAAAGTCGGTGACAAGAAATAATGTTTTATATAACAAAAAATATTATTAACATTTTAATAATGAGTAAATTGAACCAACACTTATTGTCAATCCTTTTGCATATAGTGTTGTACACAATGTAACGCCCATTTCTTATCAATTAATGAAAATTCACAAAAGATTTTGGCTCTATAACAAAACCGAATAAAAAACTCGTTAACTTAAAAAATAACACACGACATTAAAATTTTAAAAATAAAAAGAAAACAATCAATAAGAAACAAATGAGAGGATTATCTCGTCATTTTAAAGTAAAGGGATAATTTCCAGTAATATTGAAAGCGCTTTCCACTTTTTTATTGATATATAAAGTGTATTTCGACTTTTCAAATGGTTTTAGACCGTTTTTCCTGACAACGGTATTTCCCAATCAAACAACAATAATTAAACTCACAACTCCAACAACAACCTTAATGTCGTTAACATTGCAGACTTTAACTCCCAACAAAAAGATATAATAAATGAGACATTAGTCTGCCACATCAAAGAAGTGACAGGTCTTATTGTGCTTGATCGATCCAACGAAGGTCTAAATAATCAGATTTTTTCAGAAAAAAAGAAAAAACTATTTAAAGAACAAACCCGTTATAATGAATTTGTAAGATTGTTCCCCCATCTATGATATCAACCAAATTCATTGGAATTTAAAGTGTACAATGGCAATGATTGGAAGATTATCTGGCTTTTTATCGTCTTTGGTTAATTCAAGTGAGTTTTGTGGATGAGGGTTCGTGGTTTTAATGGTAATCATTTATTTTTAATATTGAAATTCTTTTTTAATTAAGATCACTTTTTTCAGAAAAGCTTGAACACATTATTACCTTTTTGTGTTTTTTTAATTTACAGTCTTTTTTCCCCTCAATTTTTTGGAAAACAATGAAAAAATAGCATAGGAGTGTTGTCACCTACTTTACCTTTACCATCCATTTATTGGAATTAAAAAACCTGGGTTAATAGAGTAATACAACTATTGAACTTTGTACTTCCTCAGAAAAACGGGTTATTTATTTTTTGTCACTGACATTATCCTTGTCACTAACTTTATCCTTCATCTGTATAATTATTTGACACACATTTTAATATATTTGTTACTATCGTGAAAGGTGTCTATTTGTCGTTATCTTAATAGTCGAACAAGTCTTTTTGTAGCACAACTGACTAATCATTTTAGTCTACGACAATTAAATATTTTGTTCTCGAATCTGTAACTTTCGTTGAATTAATACCAACTTTTTACTTAAAAATAAAATTCAATATTAAAACGAACTTTTTAAAAATATTCTCAAATTCTACAAATAGTTTTTTATGCGCTATATTACGACAAATAAACCCCTGTCACTGTATTTCTAAATAATTTATTGTGTGTTTATGATTTTAAATAAATATTATCAACCCAAATATTTTGATGAAATACACTGTAACGTCTCCAGTGCCACGTTTAGTTAGACATTTATTATTATACTTTTTTTTAAAACCAGATTTAAATAAATTTTGAATATAACCAACCAAGTCCTTCAAACGAGCCATCCCCAGTGATACCACAGCATTCTTGGCACATCCATTCGTGTCCTACTATTGATTGAAGTTCCATTTTATCAATGATTTCTTGTTTAGTCAAAGCATTTGGTAAATCGGTTTTATTTAAATAGAAGAGAATCGGTACATTAATAAGTTCTTCATCATTACAAAATTGATGAACAAATTCCTTTGCCTCATTAATGCGTTCCTGGTCGTTCGTGTCTATCAAATATATTATAGCTTGTGTTCTACTATAATATTGGCGTGTCATTGGTCTTATACATGAGCCTCCGTTTATATCCCATACATTAAAAACAATTCTTTTGTATTGGACATCCTCAACATTAAATCCCATAGTTGGTATTGTATCAACATATTTGTAATATTTGAGATGGTACAATATAGTCGTTTTTCCAGCAGCGTCAAGACCGATCATTAAGACCCAAACACGTTTGTTTTTACCAAAACAGTTACCCATATTATATGTTATTGAGCTTGGATTTACACATCTATAAAAAAAGAATATAAATTCTATGTAAAACAATTAAAAACGGAAAAACTTTATACTTTGTCTTTATATAGATTTTTTTACTATATCATATAATATGTAAATTAAAATTATAAAAAATAGGAATTAGGGTAATTATTTGGTCTTGTTCCCGAAATCGAAAAATGCCGATAATTCACTTCAGAACAGTGGAAACTGAGTGAGATGGAGACAGAGCATTAAAAAAAGCTAATTAAGCCGCACTCAAACGGCCTGTTTGTGCAGACTGTATGATCATCTACAAGTAAACAAGAAAACCACATCTTCGTCCACATATGTACGGACAAGTAAAGTGGATGACACGGGGATGCACAAACAGTGGCTGTATAGTAGACTTTGGTAAAAAAACTTCGGCGGCAAATACTTTATTTTGGTTAAGGTAAAAAAGCTGGTCCTATTAAAAACACTTGTTCTGGATAAAACTATATTAAATAATAATTTGTATTTATAATCAATAATACTAAAAACATGAAAATTTACATAAAACAAGTGTTTTAACATTTTGAAGTGTTTGTAATAATATAATGTTAATTTAATATAATTGTTTTGGTTTAAGTTTGATGTTACTTTATCTCCAACAGATAAGTGCCCTTCAAAACATACAACTTTTCTATTCAAAACGGAATGTTTTACTCCACTTGTTCGTTATATTCCAATTTAATAAATAAACACAACATTTGAATAAAAGTAGAAAATTTTTGTTCGACTAAAAAGCATATAATTATATAAGGTGTTACAATACAAGATTAGACTCAGCCTATTTCTTTAATGTTGTTAATAAGGAGATATCGATCGTCACACATCCCACACCCATAATTACATAAATTACCAATAATGGCACATCCTTTTAAGTGTGTTGTCTTCTCACATGAATAAGTCTCATGACAAAATAATTGGTGAAGCACTTTGAACACTCCAAATCACTCAAACAATTCGAACAAAAAATGGAACACATAAGACATGATCATTCAAGATAAAGTGGTCTGTTCCACAGACAACACAATGACTTATGTTGTTTATTAAAACTAATGGTTGGTGTGGAAACTTGTTAATTAAAGTAAACTATATTATTTAACAATACAAATTTAAAAAGTATTATAAAATGTAATTAAAACAATTAAAAGAATTTAATTAAAAATTATTAAAATAATTATTAGGTATTTATTAATAATACAATACTATATAATAATGTAATCCCATAATTTTAAATTTTCAATATAACTAAAATTATAAACATTACTAATTCAAATAACAAAGCGATGAAGTCAATATGAACCTGAATATTTTTATGATGATGGTTGTCATACATAATACAACCTGAATATTTATTTAATGATCGTCGTGATTAGACTGGCCAACCGATGACCATTATTTTCAATTATGCCGAATTTTTAAAGCAACGTTCCTTTTTGCCCAAACCAAAGTTGACCACACATATAACCGACTTTTGCTTTTACAAATAAATTATATAAAACTAATTATTATTTGGAAGCGATAAACAAAAGTTAAATAACATTTTATTTATTTCAAATTTTAAAAAATAAACTTTTTTGGGAACACATGATTATTGAATATTATTTTTTTTAAAATTATATT